TAACCAGGACAAGCTATTTTTTTTTTTTTTTTTTTTTTTTTTGCAGTGGTGCTGGCACCTCACAGCAGCTCCACGAGTCAATGCATCCTCATCAGACCAGTTTCAAGGGACCTGTAACAGCATTAAGGGGGTTCCTTGCAGAAGTCCATAGAGAAGCCTGTAGCAATGACCAGTGCTTGTGGGTTGGATGCCTTTGTAATTGTGGGATCAGTTCTGCGCAGGTCTTCATGGAAGCATCCTTCTGCATTCAGAAGTTTCTGCCATTCCAGGTCTGCAAGACAGTCATTTCCACACCATCCACTAGTTAAACTGTTGTGAATGCACACATGAAATGAATACTTCTAGAGGAACCCCTCCCCTTCCATCATCTCAGCCTTAGCATGCCCTTTAGAGGTGCTGCACAATACGTGCACCCAAAGCAACTGTAAGTTACCTATATTTAGGAGCGTAAGGGAACTGGTCACTTGAGAGCCTAAAGCCTTTGCAGTATAGCATGTGCTATGTGCTGTCTTTCTTGCGTTTTTTCCCTATGCTTTGGGGTAGACCACACCAAATATGAAGATTACTCCAGGTTTACACCAGTTTACTTGTTTTTTTTTTTAAATTAATGTGTCACAAAAACCCTCAGAGAGCAGAGGGAAACTTTCACTGTGTACGTCCCAAATCACAGAAGTGCCACAGCTAAACTTCTTGCTTATAGAGCATTAACAAAAAAGTTGTTTTTTTCTAATAATTTATAATAGGGGTCGTGTTCAGAATATTATGTTTTACCAAAAAGAGGTGATCGTGACAAGCTTATTTAAACTGGAAAAAATAAAACAAGCTCTTCAGACTTCTGTAATCTTTCAGATGACTGAAAAAATACTAAAACTCTCCAAACCATACGGTTGAATCAGCAACATACAAATTCATTAAAATGCCTGTCTTTGGGTAAAACCCACAAAAAGTCAGTAATAACTGTAGTTAGTTCTTGAATTCCTTACGACACCTTCAGCAGCCGTGGCCACTACATGACACCTGGTGGCCACAAGCCAGCGTAGCAAGAACATAGCACTACTGAAATCGCAGTGTGGGCCACCCCCATCAGGTAAAAACAATTTTCTTTCAAACGTTAACTGCCAAAATACCAGTTGTAATACATTTGCTACAGTTGTATGTCTTGCCACGGAAGAACCCAGCTTTGACACCTGCTAGTGGGTGACACATAGTCGCAAGGATGCTGTGGTACAGATCTTCCTTGGAATGACGATGCTCCCTCCCACCCGGGAAGTGCTGTCCTTGCTGTTCGCTCCTACGGCGGTAGGGCATCGAGACGGGGATTTGCAGAGTGGCAGAGTTGCAGGAGATGTCCTTTAAAATGCAGAGACGGGATTCACTGCGAGCTGGCTCCCATGGGGCCGATAAAAACGGCCCCGGAATCGGTGCTCTGGTGTGTCAGAGATGTGCCTGGCGGCAGCACGTACTCCTCACCCTCCTGGGATCATGGTATAAAATCACGGTGTCTAAAATCTGCTACATAAAGAACAGGAAAAGAGAACAATCGGGTAAGAGAGGACAGAGAGCTCAAGCGGTTCCACTGCGCTCAAAACCCTCAGAAGAGCATTTGAGCCCGTGAGCACCGGGAACGTTCAGCGTTAAGCCTCACCGGCTCCTGCGCGCCGGCAGAAGCGGGGCTTATCGCCTCAGCGACCCCGCCGACGCCTCAGGAGCGGGCCCGGGCCCAGGCCCGACCACAGCTGCAGCCCAGCCACCTCCCGCCTCCGGCCCTGCCTCCTCGCAGCGGGGGGCGGCTCCCGGACCCCCTCCTT